ACACACACACACACACACACACACACACACACACACACACACACACACCCCCCCCCCCCAACCTTGCATGCATTGTGATGGTCTGTGAAAGCCTGGGCTGGGACCCTTCTCAGTGAGGGGCAGCCTCACACTCAATAGACTGTTTGAGGGCAAAGTGACACTCCTGGATGCCACCATCTAACACTCAAATGCTCAGGTGGGGGTAAGTAGTGGGTATGTTGGAAAGGAAGGCAAGCGGGGCGGGGGGGGGGGGAGACAAGATTCCCACCTGTCCCTGACAGGTTTGTCTGTTTCTGTCCAAAGGTGTGGAGTGGCCCCGTTCCTGCTCACAGATGCAGACGGATGCTGCAGGGGCTGGCCAGGTCTTGGTCCCCGAAGTGGTACCCTGGAGGGTTGACCCTTTATCCCCTTGGATGGGTTCAGGGCCACCAGCACCCTGGAAAGTTCCAGGTATGGGTTCCACAAAATGCCCAGCAGCTGAGAACCCTCTTGGGGAACCACATACTCCAAACATCTGCCTCTCTACTGTCCCACCTGCTGACTTCCTGGAGCTACCAGGGCTGAAGACCCTGACACTGCCCCAAGAGTTCTTTACCCTCTCTAGACACCTCCATGGTAGAAAGACTGTGTCTGAGGGGTAGGGTTCCCTTCCAGTCAGGAGATCAGCAGTCCTGAGGGCCTGGAATGGATGCCCTGTATCCTTTCTAGCTGTCTGCTCAGAGGAGACATGCTCCAGGATGTAACCAGGGATATTGGCCATACTGAGGCTTCTCCCAAATGCCCCTGTCTCTGCCTGGCTGTGGGTTGCAAGTGCATCTGGGTTCTGTTCACAATCAGGGGGCCTCTCCAAACAGTCTGGATGCCTCCCCCATATACCCCAGGTCAAATGTGGAGCATGAAAAGCTTGGCTTCCTGGCCCCCAAGGCATCCCCACCCCACATCTCAACCTAGGCAGCAGAACAGCCCTTGCCAGGGCCCTGTGGCCACTAGCGTGGCTGGGCTGGCCCTACACCTGGACACAAGACAGGCTGGGGCTTGGGGCAGCAGAGACATTCTGGAACTATCCTGGTTGACTGAAAGGAGCCAGGCCTCTGGGCTGATGGGAATGGGGTTTGTTTCCCTGTCCTGCAGAACCAGGACTTCTCCATGATTTTAAGCCACTAACAGGGAGGTCTCACAAGAAACTAAAAAACATAGCTACCATAGACCCTGCTGTATCATTCCTGGGCACGTATCCAAAGTCAACATACAGTAAGACGCCTGTACACCCATGTTTATAGCAGCACTACTCACAATAGCCAAGTTATGAAAACAACAATGAATGGATAAAGAAAATGTGGTACATATACACAATGGAGTACTATTCAGCAATAAAGAATGAAATTAGGTTGCTTGCAGGGAAATGGACAGAAACGGAAATCATCGTGTTACAGGAGATAAGCCAAGCTTCAAAAGGCAAGGATTACATTTTCACTCCTATGTGGACTGTAGTCCTAACAATGATATGTCATGACTATAAAGGGACTGTCTGAGGGGTGAACCTGTGGGGAGGGGGAAGGGAGATGATGGGGGTGTGTATGATCGAACAGCATTGTATATAGGTATGAAAATAGCATAATGAAACCACTAAAACTGTTAAAAAGGGGGAAGGGGGGAAGTTAAGAAAGAGCAATATAGACAGAGTGAATTTAACCACAGTACATTATAGCCATGTTGTAAATATTACAATGAAACACCTTTGTACAATTAATGTTAATAAAAAAAATTTAAAAAAAGACTAATAGTTGCTGGCTCATTCATAAATACACAATTTTATTTGCTATTTTCAGGGGAAACTTAGGCATTAAACAGTAAGCTGATAAAATACGGATACCTAAAAAAGTATAAAAGTATAAATATCCCCTCAGAATAAATTTTAGTGATTTAAGTCTTAATATCTTTAAATTAAAAAAAAAACACAAGCCTATCTATTTGTCAAGGTCATAAATCAAACAATGCTAAGCATCCAGCAGTCTCCAGAGAGCTTGTTCCCCACTGCCAACAGCAGGGCCACCCACTCCTGGGACTGTGCTGGGGAGGACAGAGGCTAAATCTGCCCCACAGGCTTTATAAACTGTTTAAGCCAGACATTCATCCACATACAAGAGATCGATCTTATGAAAGGAGGAGGTAAGTCTTAGATGCTGGAGAACTTGGTTAATCAGGTTACTGGCAAAGGAGAAGGAAGAGGGCCTAGGCAAGAAGTTTCCGGAAGCATTTGAAACGGACAGTGTCAGAGCCTCTGACCTGCATATGGGCAGCCCTGGTGGTCAGTTTGCACAGCTCCCTTGGGAAGCACAGAGCCTGCTGGCTCCAGTCAGGTCTGCAGACTGTCGTCTCCACAGCTGGCTGAGAAAGGCCTTTTGAAAGCCCAAGGGCACAGTCTGAAGGAGTCCCAGCAGCTTCACATCATGTCAGGTGGGTGAAGCCGGGGCAGGCTGTGCAAAGTCTCAAACGCCCCAGAAATATTAGAGAAGAACTGCATAGTTATACAAGGAAATGAGAGCCGGCGAGAAAGAGACGTGATGCGCTGTAAACATCCTGAATTTCAACATGACCCAGAGTGTCAGCTCCAGAAGCCAGGTGGACAGGCTTCCCATTCCAGCCTCCAACCCAGGCGCGACAAAGGCACTGGTGGGCGCCAGCTCCCCCATGAGCCCTCGGGTAGGACGAGTGAGGCAAAACCTCTATCTCCCATTAAATGATTGAACAGATCAATCCAAAACGCAGCAACACTTTTAGGCATTTCTAAAGAGTATAAACATTGGGTGGTCTATCCACACTTAAAAAAAAAAAAAAGGGATACAAAGTTCTCTCGCCTGGAAAATACAAATAGAGAAGCCTTGACTGTCCTGGCCTACGAGGGCAGAATGAAAGCCTGGCTCTGAAGGAGGCCAGGCCGTGGGTCAGGCCCTAGGAAAGTAGTGATGATGCAGAGGGCTCTTTTCTCAGAAGCCTCTGTTGAGGGCGAGAGAGACCACAAGCCAATCACACCTGGAGCCAAAGAGCCCCTGATCCAAGGACCAGGGCCTGGTGCTCAAAGGTGGCCAGCAGCATTCAGCCCCGAGCCACGGTGCACTGACAGTAGGCACAGCTGCTGCCCCTTCCTCTTGCCGAGGCCCAGACTGTGTATCGCAGACTATGTATGTAGCACCAAGAACCCTGTCCTTCAAATGTTCTTCAGGATTGCACCGGCTGGTCAGGAGCATCCCGCCTCAGTCCCACGTGGCACTCAGAAAGAACAGAGTGAGGCCCCCAGAGACAGCCCACCTGGCCCTGGCCTCCTCCCCGCGGGGACACTGGGCCTCAGACAGCTGGGCCGTCTCTCACCACCCACTTACGAGGCAAAAAAGGATCCACACCCAGATCTCTAGAGAAATGATCAAAAGCAGGTTTCTTCTCACAGCCAAGCTTCCTGAATATGGCGGTTCAATGTATCTTGGGAAAAAGTAAATCATTTCTTCAGCTGTCAGTACTGTCTCACATTCTTGAACCTCGTTCTTGCAAAATCTGAAAAATATCAGATGCAGAGTTAGGACTCAGGCTCTGACCACGTGTCCTGTTCTGGATAGCAGAACCCACAGACCTGCTCTCAGCTCAAAGCCTGAAGGAACCTGGCCCCACAGCCCCACACACTGCGCCTCACTCTCTCTATGTCCAAGTGATCAGCATTTCTACCAATGCAGCACCAGACCTGTTCACCTCTGGGCCTCCTCAGAGATACCTGCCTGACCTTAGAAAGCCTTCCTGAGCATGGGTCATGCTAGGAGGACACCTTTCATGATTAGACCCTGCCAGACCTGCAGAGCTGGCCTCTCCTTGTTCCCACTCACAGCTTGTCCAGGAACCCTCTTGGTCTCCCCAATGACATGCTGCAACCAGATGTGCATCCATCTAGTTTGTTTAGGAGCTCTTGGAGGCCCAAGGAGAAGCTGGGCCCTGGCAAATGCTGCTGAGCTAACCCCCAAAATGAGCTTGCAGCAGCCGAGGGCAGAGGAGGGAAGATGACTCTTAACTACAGGCAGGCAGCTTGGGCACCCTCATCATAAGCCACTCAGCAGCAAACAGTCACTGCTGTGAGCAACAATTCCCAAGCTCAGTGTCAGTAGAGAGAGCTGGTCCCTGAGAAGCTGCTACAAAGAGCTCAAGAGAAGGCCAAGTTCTTTCAAGTTGCTCCTATCTGTCCACTGACACCCTAAACACCCCTCCTGTCTCCAGTGCTTTTAGGGGCACCTCCCACAGGGCAGGGGAGCAGTGTGACCTCCTTAGACCCAACAATGGAATGCTCTGCAAGGTCAGTGATTCCTGAACTTGCCAGGACATATGGAGGTGACTCCAGGGGAATGGTGCCACCCCCTTCCTGAGGTGCCAAGTCCCCAGTCACAGCTGAGCTCCCCAGAGCAGAGGGAGGGTCTGTATGGGCAGGACTAGTGGTGGGAATGACTATCCCAGAACAACATGACACCCTGGAGGGGAAGGTGACAGTAAAACAATGTTGTTCACCACCCCAGCGGACACAATTTAGTACGAGACCTTTCTATGGCCTGCTCCCACCATGATCACCTCCACAAGAAGGCCCAAGTGGCTGGTGTGGCTCCAACCTGTGATGTCTGGGAGTGAGTGCCTGGCTCTGCCCTCACACAAACCCAGACACTGGTCGTTCCTCCCTACAGGAAACCCTCTTCTCCAGCTGACCTGGTAAGCAGATCTGGCTCAACTGAGTTCCTGTGGACTGCACACTCTGAACTGGGTACCTATTACAGCTCACCGCCCCCCACCCCCACCACCACACATGTCACAGCTGAGAGCCTGCAGCCACATGGCTGCTGAGCCCCTCCAATGGGATGTTCACAACTTAGGGGCTGTAGCACAAACCCCACGCCTGGTTTCAGAGACTGAAAAGGGAAAAGGGGGCTGGAACAGTGGCTCACACCTGTAATCCTAGCTACCTGTGAGGCTGAGATTGGGAGGATTGTGGTTCAAGGCCAGCCCCGGCAAATACTTCACAAGCTATTATCTCCAAAATAACCAGACCAAAATGGACTGGAGGTGTGGCCTAAGCAGAAGAGTGCCTGCTTTGCAAGTGTGAAGCCCTAAGTTCAAATCCCAGTCCCACAGAAAAATGGACGGTGGCAGGAAAAGAAAATTATCTCAGTCTCCTATGTTAAATGGTAGTATTTTTAAGCAAGGTTGGATGGTGCATGCCTGTAATCTCAGTTACGCAGAAGGCTGAGGCAGGAGGATCCCTTAAGCTCAGGAGTTCAGAGCCAGTCTGGGCAACATAGAGTAACCCCATCTCTAGCATAAATTTCACGTTTCTTTTTACTTTTTGGGGGGAAGAGAGTTAAAACAGGGTTTTGCTACATAGCCTAGCACTGGTGTCCCCAGTGCTGGGATTCCAGGTTCACTCCATCACACCAAGCTCCTTTTACTTTTTTTTAACATGACTACTAGAAAAACTTAAGAGACAAATGAACCTCATGGCAAACTCTCTTAAAGAGTCAGATGATAAATATTTTAGGTTTTAAGCATCAACAGACAAAACTGTCCCTAGCTACTCTACTTGAGAGGCAGAGATCAGGAGGATCACAGTTCAAAGCCAGCCTGGGCAGTTTACAAGACCCTATGTTGAAAATACCCAACATAAAAAAGGGCTGACAGAGTGGCTCACGTGGCAGAGCACTTGCCTAACCGAGAGTGAAACCCTGAGTCAAACCCAGCACTGAAAAGGAAAAAAAGAAAAAGACAAAACTGAACCCATTACATAGACATAGCCACCTACAAGTACAACTGCTCACATGAAAAAGCCATTTTTACTTCAAGGGCTGGACACAGACCACTGGCCCTTGGGTCAGTTTATGATCCCTGCTCAAGGCCATTCCTTGCTGGGCACTGACCAGTTGGTCAGTGCTGCCCCACATCCCCTGTACACCGGGTTACTCATAGGGCAGTGGTGAAGACTCACAGCCTGTGGGGCTGGTCTCACTTACACCCACTCCCTGTCCTCCCCTTGGTTCCCCTTGGGTGTGTCCACAAGCCACCAGATGATCCCTGCTGAGGTGACAAAGCAGTCAGGTCTGCATAGACCTGGCCTATAAGATATGAATGGTGAGACTGGGCTGAAGAAGGAGCTGGATTAGCAACAGGGCTGTGAGGCTGTACAACCTCAGGGCAGATGGATGAAAGGAGGGTCCAGATGTGATCACCATCCTGGGAGGTAACAGCAGCACCACTGTCCCTCGTTCAGGAGTCTCGAGTGCAAACGGGCTCCTGCATGGCTCATGACTAAAAAGGAGGCCACCCTCTACGGAATGGTGGGCTAGAGTGACCCCAAGGGTACTCCTCCCACAGCTGTACACTCATGTCTATGGCCTTGTCTAATACAAAGGGTTCTCCCAGCAACTACCCCAATCCTCCTGCCCGTGGCACCCATGGAGGGCCACTATGTAGCAGCACTGGGCATACAAGTGACACCCACCGCCCGATCCCCAGCAGACAGTTCTACTGCAGATCTATAGATACAACAATTGGAGGGTCTGTTAACTACAGGCATGGACAAGGCACAGAAGAGGAGTCAGGTGCAAGGAACGACTGGGGTCATGGGTCAAGGAGACTAAGATGATGGGTTAATCTGAAGGGCTGCAGAGCTCACCATGACATTTACACTTAATCTGAGTCACTGCCTTGATACCCCGTCTCCTCGTCGTCACTCTGGTGTGGTAGGCAGCAAGCAGCAAGAGAGAAGAAGACATGGCCATCAGCCAAGTTCCAGCGGCAGCAGGCAGGAGGGCCACCCAGCAGACCACCCACCCACAAAGGAAACCAAGGGTTTGGTCACTTCCCAGAGGCCACTCACCCACAGCACATGCCTGCCTTACACAGCTGCCATATGCCAAAGAGCTGAGGCCTACCCAAGGAGGGCCTGGCTGTGATCGCAGTTCCTAGGAGGTGACCTACAGGCCCATGGAGCACCCTGCCTGACAGCAGGATTTTGTTCTGATAGGGCCAGGGATCACACTGCTCATGATGGAGGTTGGGCATTGGGTCAGAGGAGCTGGGACTGTCCACCCTGTGGGCAGCTGGTTGATCAACCCATCAATCAGTCATGCCTGTGCAAAAGAGCCCCAGAAACATACTGGACCCCGAACCTCAGGAGTTTCCCTAGAGGGCAATGCTCTAGGTATGTCACACAGGGAAGGGACGTGACTCCACAGAGGGCTCTCCTGGCCTTCTCCCCAAGCATCTCCTCCACAGCTGCGTTCCTTTGTAACAAGGGAGGGCCAGAGACTAACCACTCTCAGTGAGTCCTAAGTCCTTCTAGTGAGTTCTTGAGCCTGAGTGGTTTGAGAAGCCCCTGCACTTCCAACTGGTGTTGGAAGCAGTTTTCTCACACATGGACTGTCCCTGTCACAGATGGCCTAACACCTAGCACTGGCCATAGCTTTGGGATTTTGACATTTCTCGCTCCCACCATTCCCAGCTTGAAACAGAGAAGAGGCTGCCTGGTAAAATGCTAGGAAGCTACTACATGTTCAGGGCACACCTATGGACAGGGCTCAGTGTGTGCAGTGGCTGCCGACCATGGTCAGTGGACACATGTCTGAAGGGGAGTTGCTGCCCTCAGAAATGTGGCTCTACTGCATCCAGGATGTATACAAGGTGTTTTCAAATCACTGTCCTCCAGACCTGGCCCCACCTCCTAAGGAGCCAGCCACCATTCAGAAGCAGTCATGCCTGCCCTACTTCAAGCCAGGGATTTATGGAGAGAAATAAGGCCACCTTTCAACAGCAATGGGACTTGGGGTCATGCCTAGAGCCTCCTCACAGCACAGAATGTGCCCTGCTGCTGCTGAAAAGCCAGAGAGAGAGATGGTCTCTGGTGAGCTTCATTATGAAAACTGTAAGTTCAGAAATAGAAAGCTTCTAAAAATAAAATAATTTATAAAAGGGCTCTCCCATTGCTCAAAGACAGAAAGAAGTGTCCCTTATATCTGGGCTTAGAGGCTCCCAGGAAGGTGGGGGATGCCTTCTAGACCTCGGACCCAAAGGGAAGCTTGTCCTAAGACTGGCAACTCCCCCCACATGCTGCCAAGCATGGGGCTTGGCCTCCCCCCAACTCACAGTGAGCTCAGGGAACACCAGTGGCAGGGAAACAAGGGTCTCTAAGGCTGGAAGATCAGTCAATGGCAAACACATGTCACTTCAGAGTGCTGGGAGTATGAGAATGCTGTTGTGAGCCTGACCAACACTGTCTCCCAGAGACCTGCTGGGTGACTCGGCCACCTCAGTGCTGAAATCCTAAAGACCAGGAAAGGCTCACTGGCCACACTGACAAATGCTGCTGGCAGCCACCCAGAGGCCACCAGCCAAGGATTAGCCTGCCACAGGATCACTGGTTCAATGTCCTAGGTTAAAACCCTCCTAATCTGATCTCTTCTTGAACTCACTCACAATGCTCTCTGGCAATGTCCTGGGTCACTGTGGGCCTGGACTCAACCCAAGCCAGCTCTGCCAAGACCTTCTGAGGTCCTGGCTCTCCTCAGAAATGAGAGTGTAGTGCTCTCCAGCTACCACCTGGCTCTAAGTTCTGAGAGCCAATGCTGGATGCTGCTTGGAGCTCCAACCAGAAGAATGCGCCCAGGACAAATGCCAAAACATTGGTCTCCTGTGGAAGGACCGTAGGGACACCTCTGTGCTCACTGCTAGCTGCTACCACCCCCCACAAGAGACAGAAGAACCTGACCCCTGCAGGGCACAAGTACGGGACATTCTCCTTTACACACTAACCCCAATTCTGGAGACCAGCTGGATGCAGCCCTCCAGCTGCTGATGCTGAGAACTGACCCCTACTCAGGGCCCCCTAGTTCTGTTTGCTTGGGAACAGAGGATCCCTGGGGCCCTGAGGAAAAAAGCCCACAGGAGCAGTCCTAAAATGCGGTCCCTGGAGCCACAGCCCTGAGAATCCCTGTCCTTGCAATTAGATTTCAGCAGCTGCAGCACAAACTGTCCCCACACTGTAGAGCCCTGGGCAGCAGGTTCAGAGGATATTTTTCAGGAGCAGCTCTGCCACGTGGGCTGGAAAGACCATGGACTTGCATCCTGCATTGCAGGAGCCTCTGCTCTGACAAGTCAGGAGCTCTCACATGAGGACCTCAAGTCATTAAAGAAACGGACAGACGGGAGGTTAACAAACAGGCCCTGAGAAGGAAAAAGCCTTTCAAAACACAGCCAGCAAAAAGTGTCTTCTTCTGGGGCACCAGGACCACCCCCTCTCCACCCCCCTCCCACCCCTCCCCCATGCTCACCTTGGCTTTCTCGCTAGGCTCACTGGTTGTGCCATAAGGGGTGTTGTGCAGCTCCTTGGAAACCACACAGAGGAACTCAGCCTGGTCTTCATTTCCATAGTTGTAAGAAGAGCCAATGCTGACCAGCTAGAAGGAAGACACAGCCTGTGATACATGCATTGGTTCAGGCGCACTCACCACCAGGAGGAAAACCATGCTTGGCACAGACTGCTGAAGCTCAGGGATAAGGTTTCAGCCAGGAGGATTTTGTGAACTGGCAGAAAGCAAACTCCCAAGCGCCCCAATCACAGATCTGCACCTGCCCCACCATGTAATCACACAGCATGCCAAGACAGGTACCCCTGTGGGGTAGGCCGAGCTTCTCTCAGTGCTCCTGGCTGGGCCTCAGAGGACAAAGACTGGCCACTCCAGGGGGAGTACACAGAGCGAAGCAGGCAAGTCCACACACGAGCGCTGCTTGAGGACCTGCTGCCAGACACCCTGTTTAATCCTTGCCAGGGAAGGCAGAACCTCCACAGGGTTCACCCTATTTGCCAGCTCAGGGTAAAGGACCCAGAACTGTGCTGGGGAGGTAGAAGGAAAGAGGCTGAGCCTAACTCTCAAAGTTGGACATTAAAGAAGCTGTGGTTTCCTGGACCTCAGTCTGTGAAGTCTGATGGTTACTGTGACTGTGAGCTACTGGGCACACCCTCGGCTATTCCAAATTGCCCACAAGCCTCCAGGTCACCAGGCATACCACATGGGGCTAGGGGCCAAGCTGACTGCTCCAGCCACATATCTGGGGAAAAGCAACCTAACGCCATCATCAAGTGCTTTTGTTGTCTTAATTACAAGACTAATAAAAAGATACCAGTTCCTGGCCTCCCTACCTACAAATCTGCTCACCAAGAGCAGACGTAAGGAGAGTAATTCACACTGCAAACTGCAGCCCCCTTCTGCAATGGGGGACAAGGCAGTGGGCAGGGGAGGATCCCACCAGAGGAGGTGGAGACAGGGGTGCTAGCACTGGACCAGGCACTTGGGGTCCCCCACTGATGAGAGCACATGCACCCACATCTGCCAGAGGCTCCATGTCCCCAACAGGCAGTCCTACTCTAGCCTTATCACCAAACCACTGGGTGACTCTGAGCTGGGTTCCACCCCACTTCCCTGACAGCTTGTCAACCCACAGACCTGCTTTGTGGAGTACAGAGCCTCTTGTGAGCCAACATGACTCAGGCTCATGGTGTTTCACCTGCATGCACCGGAGGCATGGAGGTTCTCCAGGATGACTGCACACAGGTCAGAGTCAAGGGGATAAAGTGTATCTGCGCAATGGGTCCAGATCACCCAGAATAGCTGAGGACAAAGTCCTGAAGCCGATCATGGAAGGAGACTGTGTCCCTTCCAGCCAGAAGTTACAAGATACTCAACTCCAAATGAGGACAACCCAGTTTGCAGAACTGGGAACCAGTGACAACAGCTTTCTAGCACCTAGCCCTTCTTGGGTCACATGCCAGGTACAACATGAGGGCTCTGCCATCACCCAGAGACACCTGCTCCTGCCAGAGTCTCTGGCATGATTCTGATGGAGGTCTGGGTATGAGAGTCAGGCACTCAGACTTCAGGACTGTGCCAAACCCCAGGAAGGCATAGATCAGTAAGTGCCTGCTACCTGGCCAGGATGTACTCTGGAGGTCAGCTCTACCCAGGAGGTACCAAACACAGCCCAGAGCAGCTCCCAGGAGAAGCACTGGGACTGAGAACCCACCATGGAGAGGAAGGTCTAGGAGGTGGCAGAGATCTCTTAATAGCTGCACCCTCCCACCCAAACTCCCACAGCTATGTATCTGCATATGCCAGGATTGGGTCTGGTTTCTCAGGACTAGAGGACACCAGGTGCACCTGTCTCTGTGAGCCTTCCTAATCAGAGGCCAACTCCCTGGTCCTTGGGGCTACAGTCCTGAGAATCCTAGCCCTTGCAATTAGATTTCAACTGCAGCACAAACTGTCCCAGTGAGTCACTGGTCCCTCACCTGCTCAAACTTCCAGCCGTCAGACATGGTGGACACCATCTGTGTCAGCTCCTCTTCCTGACACTGCAGCACACGGTATACATGTTTCACAGGCATCTGCAAGGACAAGGGCCACCATGAAGCCAGTCCACACCCCAACCCAAATAACCCTGCCCTTATGCCACCACCACCAAGGGAAGAGCTCTCCAGGGACCCACAGGTCACAGTGCCCAGAGCAACCTTGAACAAATCCACACAGACAACCCACAGCCTGAACAGCTGCTGTGTGTCGCTTCCTCAATCGCCTCCAAAAATATTTCTACTTCAAAATTCCAAAATAAAGTGAGTCATGCTTCTGAAATCCCAAGAGCACCTGTGGCTCGACATGAACACATGAGAATGTCTGATTCTGTTCTGTGAGGGGCCACACGCAGTCTCTGAATTAACCAGCTGGGGAAGGACTTGACAGGGAGGCCCAAGAGGGGAAGATAACATTGCTCCCACTTCTAGAAAAACTTTTCAACATGGGCAGTGGCCCAGACCCAGGTTCTTCCCCACCTCACCCCCTGCCAGAGTGAACTGGGAATGAGATGGGCTGGCTCCCCAAACTGAATCTCCCTCCTGATGCCTCCCTGCCCAATAGCAAGCACAGGAAGGATGAGGGCCCCAGGTCATTGGTGCTCATGCCAGGGGCATGTGGGTGAGTAAGTCACACACTGGCCTTCCTGTAGCCCAAGTGCTTCTTCTGCGTGTTTTTACAAGGCCAGGCTCTGCAAGGAGGTTTCTCCTCCACCTCCATCACATGGATGGGGAGACTGAGGCAGCCCAGGTCACAGGGTTGGGGAAAGAAGAGGCAAACTGTACTAACGAAGGGACTGTGAGGTGTCCAGGACCTGTCTACTGCCCTGCAGTTGAGGAGTCTTTCCCCAAACCCCACTCTGCCATTTAGCAGGCTCCAGCAGTGGTCACAGGGCTGGAGCAGGTCATGTGCATGTCTGGCCCAGTCTGGCCATTGACCAGGCCATTAGTGAGCCTCTTCATAGGGCCCAGAGCATCGGCTTAAGGTCTGCTAGGTATATGATGGGAGAGTGAACAGGAGCAATGATGCGGTGGGAAAGCATCATTATTGTGGGGGTGGGGTGAGTGTTTTAAGCAGAGCAGGTAGAATGCTGCTAGCATCAACTTTACAGTGTCCCCCTGGAGCAGAACCAGCTGGGAGAAGGCTCAGCTGCTCGAGTGCAAAGTTGGCAGGGTGACAAGATCAATGCTAAGCTTCCTTCAGAGAAGGTGCTGGACACTGTCCACCTCAGATAGCACTAACCTAATGGGCAGCAGAAGGGCTGCTAACTGTGGCTACATGTGATGGTTTCCAGAAGGCTCTACAGCAGGTGTGTAGCGCCTCCCATAGCACAACCGGGCCCCCCTTCCCAAAAGGGCACCTGTATAGATCCTAGCTCATAATGCTTTCCCTCTAGCCACACTGGAGGCCCCTGCCTTAGATGCCTGTTCCATTGGAGGCCTCCCTGCACCCCAGCATCGGCATTCCTCTCACTTGGATTTCTTCTCCTTTATGGTATCCACACCAACCCTCACATAGTTGCCTGTCTCTTCCCACTGGAGTGGGGAACCCTGGCGTGGGGCTAAGCAGACTTGGCAGAGGGGTGGAGCTGGATTGTGACAGTGCAGGGCACCAGTATCAGGATGGGACAGCTCTATTCCAAAGGCCTTCCAGGGCTGTGCCTATACTCAATGCCTCAGAAACTGCCAGGACATTAACCAGTTGCCTCACCTGTGACGTTTTACTGTCTCGTTCTCTAATTTTGTCCTTTACAAGTTTTATTAATGAGGTGATATTGTAAAATTCTGCTTCCTCCAACACTCCTGCAACAGAGGAAAATAACTGATTTCATCAGATCAAACCAAACTAAAGAGTACATATTCTGCCCCTTCCCATGCCCATGCCCAATCTGTCCTAACATCCTGTAGCTTCCAGCACTCAATGGAGGCAGAGGGATGTGATATTTACTAGACATGCATGCTCATGGCATATCACTCCAGGTGATGTGTAGGACCAGAATAACTGCTCTGAGCCCACAGACACTGGGGAATAACTGGCATGTGCCCTCTAAAGACCATCTTGTGCCACCGGCTTATGCTGCTGGGAACCTGCAGGTGACGGGTCACAGGCTGGGAAGCCACAGCCTCGTGCAGTTTCCCTACTCAAACAAAGACTGGCTGGCTGAGGGTTACTCCCAGCTCTGGTGCTCTTCCCTAAGCCTGTCATCCATAACAACCCACACTTGGGGTCTTGAACCCTTGAAACTTAAGGAGGGTCCCTTTCCTCATTTTTCCAGCATCCCCACCCTTGCCAGCCCAAGTCAAGCCATATCCAGGCCATGACAGCTGAGGACAGGAAGTAAGTTGAAGTGTAGCCTGGATCCACACTGCTCCAAACAGAACTGGGGGTGGGGAGGGAGAGGGGAGAAGGCTGTCTCAGTCAACAAGCATGTCCTCAGAGTCACATCTTTCATGACTAAGCCGAGAACAACCCAGGTGAGAGTACAGATAGTAACGTGGGGCTGCTCAGCAAGACAGACACCCAGGAAAAGAAACGGAGATGTGAGTGCATGGCCACAACACCCTGGATGCATCTGATCTCATCTGATTTGGAAGCTAAGCAGGGCTAGGCCTGGTTAGTACTTGGGAAGGGAGAAATGGAGATGTGGCAGGAGCTCCAGGGAGAAGCCCAGCCCAGAACATTCACTGCAGGGAAGGTGCCAGAATCTTCTAGGGCTTTCTTGAAACATCCCTGACTTTTCTGAGCCAACACTGGTACATGCAGATAGGCCAGCTTGGTGTCGAGCATCCTGTGCTCTGTGACCAGGCAGAATGCAGTACGGTGGCCAGTAAGGACAGGAAGTGCTCAAGTGATGGTGCAGAATGTCCAGCACCTTCCAGCTATCCTTCAAGAATAGCAGGCAAAGACCTCTTGAGACTCACAACTACACACAGCTTCACACCACAACAGTCAAAGTAGCTGTGAGGACAAGGGAAGTCCACCCCCTACTCCTGGTACTAACAGACATTTGGAACAGTGTGAAAAGTGGCCCTCAGCCACTTAGTCCTGACTGACCAACAGGCAGCCTTTTGTCCCCAAGAGGCCCAAAGGCTAAGACCACATCTGTGATAAAAGTACCTAGGTCTCCAGTCTGGCCACAAGTGTGGGCCTGTTCCTCAGCAGGCAGCTATGGCTCAAGGCTCCTTCCTCCTCAATGGACCAACCAGCACCTCTATCAGGGGCTGGCCCAAAAGCTCAGGATTCTGTGCAAAAACAACAACATACCTTCCTCTGCAAGGTCTTTGTTAATAACCAGCTTTCCGTGTCTCAAGTAGTTCAGCACAGGTCCAAAGTAGGTGGGGTCTCTGTCGATTAAGTAAGCACCTGTTTCATCCTGCGAAGAACAAAATGCTGTCAGTCCTGGATGAAAAACCAGTAGTTTCAATGTCAGACTAAGGCCAGACTACACACAATAGTGCTAGCAGCTTATAGGTTACACACCTTTTAATCTAAACCATCCAAGCTCTTGGCACCTTCAAGTAGCTCCAAGCATTCACTAACCCCGATTTGTCGCCACCAAAGTCTATAATGAGTTTCAGCTGTTCTTGTCAACATCCCCCCCTCCCCTCCTTGCATTTACTTGAGCTGAGGTGATCAGGTGTTGGGGCCCTTTCCTCCCAGCTCCAAAATGTTCTGAAAAACTGTGCATCACTGATGGTGACCTAACACACAGGACCTCCACTAAGCTGCTCTCAAGAGAAGGGCTGACACCATGGCTCAACTTCCTTTTTTTTTTTTTCATTTTTTGGCACTACTGGGGTTTGAACTCAGGGCCTCACACTTGCTAAGCAGGCACCTACCACTTGAGCCACTCACTACTCCAGTCCCTTTTGCTTTTAGGTTATTTTTTAAACAGGGTCTCGCTCTTTGACTGGAGCCAACCTCAGACACGATCCTCCTACCTACTCAGCCCAGCTTGTTTTGTTGAGATGGGGTCCCACTTTTTTGCTTGGGCTGGCCTCAAACTGAGATCTTCCTGAGAAGCTGGGGTTACACAGGACCAGGCTCTGAGGCTCAGCTTCTAAAGGACACTAGAGACTCACCCACCCTCCTCCTTCTCAGGGTCTCCCTGACCAGAAGTTCAGGACTGGGGGTCTGGGTGGCAGTGAAGTGGAGAAGGTACTTTCCAGCTGCTGAGTCCTGAAGTCCACAGTCAAGAGCCTCCTTAACAATGAGAAAGCCTGGATCAGCAGCACATCAAACCGACCACACTAGAAGCCTCATTTTCCACTAAACCATGGCACCAGGGCTTTCCCATGACTGTAACCACAAAGGGACCTCACTTCATGGTTAGTGGTTCATGGAACCTGAGCCATTTATAGGACAGCTTGGACAGCAGGTGCTCCTGTGGATGGCCAGCAAAGTTCCCTTGAGGATGATAACCCTATCTGCCCACCACAGCCATCTCCATGGAGGTGGACAAACCCTCCCAAGGCACAGGCAGGCACAGCTCACAGGCAGGCAGTGACACATAACAACACACAGCCCTGGGCTTGTTTCTGCCCAGGATAACCCCAGGATAAACAGGTGAGCTGCCACTAGGAAACCATTGAGAAGGGAGAGATGAGCCTCAGCCAGCAGCATTTGGAACACTCAAGGAGCCTGGCCTTTTGATTAAGCACACTCTATAGGAGGCAACTGGGTGGCAGATGCTTTGAAGGAACTCCTGCCCTAGGTCTGGCCACGGCTGGGGTAGGACATACCTAAACACTGCATGCAGGGCTTTTCATGGGAAGTTTACCAGCTGGGATGATGGCCCATTTTCAGTGTGCCAGAAGCGAGACCCTTGCCACAAGGTAGAAACTTTTTTTCTTTTGGCAGTACTGGGGTTTGAACTAATAACCTCAAGCTTGCTAGACAGGCACTCTTACCACGTGAGCCACTCCACCAGTCCAAGGTAGAACTTCTTAACCACAGAGGGCTGAAAGCTCCTCACAACACCCAGAGCTACCAACATCAGAAGTGACAGGGCTGGGGGCAGCAAACTCTGATGATCCCTCCTATGGTTTCAGCCATAGCCACTGTTTCTAGCTGGTTTACTGTACTTGGAGACCAGTGCCTGTGTGCCTAACACCCAGCCACCAAGAAAGGGCAAATCAGGTACTCATGGGGTTAACCCCAACTGCATCCAGTTGAAGTGATTTTAAAGGAATCTCCTGGAGACTTCCAGAAAAACAAGAACAAAGGAGTCCAAGATGTATGCTATAACCTTCCTGGAGCCAAGACTGGAGGGTAGGAAGAGTGAGAAGCCTCTGAACACATCTACCAACAAAGGTCTACATGACACGTATGGGCCCAGTGCCAGGGCTCCCAGGCACAGCCTGCAAAGAGGTCTGTAGCATGCCATGAAAGCAGTAGGACAGAGCAGCCTCAAGAGGCACCATGGGGTATAGTGAGGAATAAGACTCAGCAAGGAAACCCCCAAAGAAACTGGGCACATGCCACTGACCTGGGCTAGTAAGTGGGGCTGCTCCATGGTAGGGGACCAGAGCTGGGTTCATGTTTGGCCATGCACAGGAGAGTTACTCCTTCTCACCAGGCCTGTTTCCCCATCTGTCAAATGAGACATTTAGCCAAGATGACCCTGGAGCTCCTTCCAGCTGC